CATCACGCGTTGTTTCTGCCGCTGCTCAGGGACAGGAATCCTTCCCCTGCTTCAGCGTGGGGCCCCTCCTACGGCAGACAGCTCTCCGTAAACTTCCCCAACGTGAGTCTTTCCCACGGGCTACAGTTTCCTACGAGCTGCTGCAGCATGGGTCACTCTCCACTGGGTGCAGTCCAGTCCCTCTGGGGTCGCTCCAGCGTGGGTTCCCTCCACAGGATCACAAATCCTACCAGGAACTCTGCTCTGGCATGAGTCCCCTCTCTCCCCCGGGTCCCTGCCAGAAGCCCATTCCATCTTGGGCTTCCCACGGGGTCAGAGTCTCCTTTCAGGCATCCACCTGCTCTGGCATGGGTCTCCATGGGCTGCAGGTGGACCTCTGCTCTCCCACTGACCTCCGTGCGCTGCAGGGGCACAGCTGCTCCACCATGAACTTCACCACAGGCTGCAGGGGAGCCTCACCTCGGGCGCCTGGAGTACCTCCTCCTCCTTCTCCACTAACTTTGGTGTCTGCAGAGTTTTCCTCTCACATATTCCTCTCTTCTCTGGCCGCAATTACATCTGCACAATAACTTTGTTTTCCTTTTTAAATATGTTACCTCAGAGATGTTACTACCATGGGCTTGGCATTGGCTCAGCGGCAGCTCATCCTGTAGCCACTTGCATTGGCTCTGCCAGACATCGGTAAGCTTCTAGTAGCTTCTCACAGAAGCCACCCCTGTAGCCCCTCCCCTGCTACCAAAACCTGGCCACACAAACGCAACACAAAGGGGAAGGGATGGGTCCTGGGCACCAATAACCAGCACTGTGCTGTGCTGGCTTCTTGGGCAGGTGGAAAGTGGCAGATACAAAATGCAGCAACTGCTGTATGAACTCTAATATCATGTCCGAGCTCAGGCTTTGTTTCCCCTTTAAAAGACTATGGCTTTGCTTAAAAGGCTGCACCTGGTTTGAAACTAACATGTTTTTCTTAGGAAAGTGTGTTTTATGTTTGTGTTAATGGGCTCAGGGTAGTAGTCTTGGTATGTTTGTTTTGCTATGGAGAATGTTGTCAAGGGTTAAAAAGCTATGACCTAGGCACGTTGGAGCATTTGTATCTACTGTGGGTGAAACATGTTACCCTCCACCTCCTTCCCCTGGAGATACTGGCATTTACATGGACAGTAAAATTAAAGAATTGCCATTCAGTCTCTTTTTCCCTCTCCACCAAGTATGATGGTAAAACAATGGCATTAAAGCTCAAAAGGCATAATTGTGTGAATTATAAAGACCTGAACTGATAAAAGTTTTAAAGAAAATCTGACCATGCTGTATGAGGCTGGAGATGATATGTTGTACTAATAAACCACAGTGGCTGGGTGTCTCTTGCAAAGTTTTGTTTGATTCCTCTACAATTCCTTCAGGGACTGGTTGTTTTTAGCCTTGGTTTCAGCTTAAAAATTCTTCTGGTAAGAAAAAAATGCCACATTTGATGAATGTTTTAAGTGTTCTAAAATGTTCAAGAAGGAAAGAGGGGAGGAACAAAACAAGTGGTTTGAAATAATAGTTCAGTTTTCAAAGCAATTTTTAACAAACTTGTTACCCAACTGATGTTTCCATTTCTCTTGATGACATGTTTGAAAAGATGGTCTTTCTATAAAGATGATGTACATTTATGTTTGATGTCATTCTTGATGTTATTTCTCCAAAGGGAATGCCTGAAACCTGTCTTGTAACATTTGCTGACATTAACAAATCTGTTGTTTGTTAGCTCTTCTTGCCTTTGAAGGGCATGAAGTTCATTTGTATCCTGCTCTGTTCTGAATTTGGGTTCCTCAGCTGTCGTCTGGTTGTTAAGAATGTCTCCTCACTTCTCAGGTTCATGATACTGTTGCTCTGAGTACATCTGAAGGGAAACTGCAGAAACAGCTAATAGATAACCAATGGTACTAGGAGGTGTGAACAAAGGGTAAGGCAAATCTAGTTGTGTTTTCTGGAGGTAGATACTGTTGTGATCAATAATTGGGCAACTCATCAAGTTGTTTATCTCATAGTATCTTTTTCTGAGACAAAGGAAATGTACTCTTTAAAATCATTAGATAGTTTATTTGTCAATGCAGCAGTTAAATTCCACTGTATAAAAGTAAAGATGTGTGAAATAGAAGTTACAGCTAAAAAGGCAAAATCATGTTATAAAAATGTAATATTCTGACATGATGCTTAAAGGGAGATAGTGCAAGATATTCTGTATACTTAGGTTAAAGAATAAAAAAGTTCTTAACATATGCCCAAAAGCTGTTTCCTATGCAAAAGCTTAAGATGTCTCTGAGTTCCTAACATGCAGTGTTTTGCAGAAATAAGATGCTTTCTTCATACAGCCTAGGTCAGCATAGCCTGCATCTTCGCTGATCCTAAGCTGTGACAGATTTAACGTTTTCATGCTGCATTACAGGTCATCTTAAGCTTTCCACTAAACCCCTGTCCTGCCTCAAGCTAGAGCAACAAATACGAATTACAGTCCTTCCTGTCAGCAGCCTGACTGATAACACAGGACAGAACATTCAGGCTGTAATTTTTGCAGAAAATGTGTTTTCTGTTTAAGTCAGAAAATAGTTTTAGATGCCTAGTTCTGGTTAGACAATAGGATGTTACGTATAAGGAAGATGGAACAATAGCAAATACACTGCTTGTCATAATAGAACTGAAATAGCCACAAAAGAATTAAAATAATGGGAGAACCTGGAAACAAAAGAAGAGAAGAGGCTATTGAATTTTAGAACTAAAGAACTGTTCTCACAGGTGTGTTGGAATCTGCATGTTTTTTTAATGTCTTTAAGTCATTTAAAGGTGCCTGTGCACACTGGGGAAGTGATGCTGAAGGCTAGATTCAGATTATGAATGCTGAGCTTTTCTGCTAAAATAGTAGGAAAGTGTGTTTATGTTTATATATCACCTCAGAAACTGAGAACAGTATCTATCAGAGATGTCTCAAGACATGGTAAGTAAGCTAATTATATTGAAATACAGATCTTCAAAGAATTCAGTGTTTAGAAATGGATTGTGTAAGGCCATTTGCCCAGCCCCCATTGCTTTATTATTAACAGCAGGGCTCTTATGAAGAATTAACTAGAAAGCATTTTTGATCTGTTTTCTCGTCTCAGAGAACTTTTTTAGCAACCTCTTCCCTTCTACAAATAAGATGCTCTCCTTTTCTCATCATCAAGTAACCCAGCCCTCAGCAGTTTGCTGCTGGTCTCACACTGTAAGATGCCATGATGCTGAATGGGGAGTGTGTGGCTGTGAGACCAGATCACTTGGGAAAGGCCTCAGAGTGAGTTTTCTTAACACAGAATAGCAGCTGGAGTGAGCAAGTGAAGGCACATTGATTTTGCAGAAGTTTCTAACTTGCATTGTGCAAAAGCAGAAACTGGAGCATAGTTCTCTATATTTATAAAGGGGTTTTCATTGACTTGATTAAGTGGTGAAGGACAGAGGGATGAAGGAACAAGCAGAGTCTAACGTGTCTTTACAGCAGGAGAGAGAGGAATGAAAAGGGAAGTTGAATGCTACCCCTTAGTGCTAAATCACTCATTCTGCTGACTCTTTCTTGTACGAGGAGCACATATCTGCCCCCTGGGGGGTGATGGTGCCAGTCCAGTGTCTCAAGACCAACAGAAACAAAGGAGACAAAGACAGCATCGACAATTGCATCTCAGGATTTTACATGGGACTCAGAGTAAAAGTTTGACCAGGGAGAGCCAAGCCAATGGGCCTCATCTTGTTGCTCTGGTGTCTGTGGTCTAGTTTGTAGTGAGACTCATGCACTGGTTGCCATGTCCAGTGGTAAACTAAATGTGTCCAGCCCTGTTTTCTGGCCCTGAGGCCAACTGGCATGTAATGAGCTGCATCCATGCTATTGAACCCTGCAAAACAGGGTGGCTGCTGCCAAACTCCCAGTGGGGAGCTGTGCCTCTGGTGGTTCCCAGAATCTAGGGCTTGCTTGGTGGGGAGTTAGCCTGCCTGCAGCAAGTCTGTGCTAGGACCTCCTGAACAGTGGTAGCAGTTTGATGCCAATGTCTGGGAATAGGCCATGGCACGTTTCATTCTACAGACATAACATGTGCCTGCCCCCTCTGTCGGTCTTTCCAGCAAACGCATGAATCCTACCAAGGCAGTAAGCAGCAATGAAGACTTAGTGTTTACAAGTTGGTTGTTTTTTTGTTTTTTGGTTTTTTTTTTTGCTGGGTTGAGGTTTTTGTTTGGTTGGATTTGGTTGTTTTTAAATTAACTTTTTTCCCCCCTCCAGATTATGGATGTGATTAGTTTTGCGGGTTGTTAACCTGGAAGTAAGAAAACCCAGATAAGGGCACAGTGGAGGGTGTGTGTGTTAGTTATTCAGAAGAGTGTATCCTAGATCACAAGTAAGAACAGCAAGTGCTTAAAACTACCTCCTTGTTTACTACAAAGGACTACTGTAATATTTCTAATTGCACCAAGCCCCAAAAGTTACCATCCCATCTATATGTGCTTTCATACTCTCTGGGGTTCTTTACAACAACAAGAAAGCCCCATTAAAGTACAGGTCAAATATGAGTCCTGTACTTAATCTAATAATCAGTGTTAGACTAAAGGTTTAAACAATGCCTGGTTTAGTCTTCAGCAGAGGATTTCTCTCAGTGCTATTAGGGAAGAAAATGGCTTTGAAATTGCTGAAGTAAGCAGTTAGTCCCTCCTGCTTCTCTGTTTGTCCTGTGATTCTTTCAATAGGCTTGTATTGCTTGTATCTCCTGCAAGGAATGTGCACAGTTAGTTGCTGAAAGACACTTAAATGAAAGTCCACATTTAGCACCTGAGCAGTGCATAAGAACATTAACCACGTATTCATCATACATTTTCTCTCCTCCTTCCCTGTTCATTCCCAACTAATGGTTAGCAGCCATAGGTCAGTAGTGGTGACTAGGGCAATGAGAAGTCTCCCTTGCTTAGTGGAGTACTGTTGCTCCATGAAGGTGTTTTTTCCTCTCATCACTGACTGTGAGCACATAAGCACACTCTTCACTCAGGAGGCTTGGTGTCTCAAGTCTCATGAGAAACATCCATGCTAATAATGCAGTAACATGTACTTCTGTTAACTACTGTCCTGCATGTCCAACACCTTTTTCCCAAAGAATTTATTCATCAATTATTTAATGAAGAATTTGGATGAGTAATATTTGCAAACACTTCCTATAAGAGTTTTAGAGCTAAATTAAGTATCTGTTTCTTCTGTTCCAGTGAATATATATAAATCACATCATGCAGTTTGAGTTTGCTTACTGCTTACAGGCAGTTCCCAGGCTGGCTAGTATTACTGTTTGTGCTTATGAGCACAGGAGTGTAATTTTCTGTGAAAGTCCTGAACATCTGCATATTTTCCAATGGCTTTGTGACCTAAGCCAGTAATCTAATTTTCTTGAATATTTGCCAGAATATTTGTGAACTACAATAATAAAGAAACCAAAATGTAGCTAATGCAAATTGAAGTTGTTTGGTTTGTTAAACTTAATATTTTTGACAGTTCCTTGAACTATTTCTAATCATAGAAACTAGCAACTTACTTGTAGAGGACAAAAGCTCCAATGGTGGCAAACACTGCCAATAAGCCAAGGAAGATAAAGACACCTTCTGTTGTTGCAGATGATGATCCTAGAGTTCAGAAAGTAGTGTGATTAAAAGGTAGTCTCTGTTTTACAGTGAGATAGACTTTCTAAAGTGAAGTACACTTGAAAATTCTAATACACTAACAGTTTGCTGATACAATTGTTTGTGAAGGCTTGACCTCCTTCCTAGTTTACACAGGATTTTTGCTGAAGCCATATGAGGTAAGTCTTTGAACTAGTTTGCAAAGCAACACATATTGATGGGATGGATCTAAATCATGGGTGTGCACCAGCAGTTTAAGCAAATTAAGAGCAGATGTTTTGTGCAATGCCTGCATAAACCAGGCACAGCCTGGCAGAATATCAAGGGGCAGATGTTTAGGCACCAAATTATGGGATTTTCAGAAATTCAAAAATGCTTATCTTCTCTTGAAATAAGTGGGAAATTGTGGCACATGAAAAGTGTTTGCCAACACTAGATAGGTTGCTCCAGAATGTGACTCAAAGAATAAACCTCTCTTAGATCCCTATTCTGCTTTGATTATAGTGGAAGCCCCAAAGTACAACTTAGCTTTGCCCTCTGGAGGAAACCTGGACAGACTAGCCCTGTTGGGCTAAAGCTAACCTCTGTGAATACAGTTTTGAAAAATCCTGCTAGATGCTTATTTTCATCTTTAGGAGCCAGAATGCACTTACAGGTCAGGCATTATGCCTTAGTCATGAGGACCTGATTTCAGTACAGAAAAATCTATACCTAGATTAAATAAAATCAGCCATAAATATTGTGGAAAATGACCACAAAGAGTCAGTTCCTTGACTGATAGTGATTCAAGGGTTCAGAAGAGTCACTAGGACACTCTAGTAAAAAGTCAAGGAGAACAATGGAGTAGCACCTTAGAGGCAGCATGATTATTTAGACTTCTGACTGAGGCTGAGTTCAACACCTGTCAAAGACTGCTTGGATAGCTATGAGCAAGACACAGTGATACTCAGCCAACCAAAGGTAAATCTCCTGTTCTGAAATAGTTGCCCTGTGCAGACTCTGTACTCAATGGATGTTAGACAGATTGTTCCAGAGCTTGATTCATCTTATCCTCATGTAGAAATAGAAACCTGGTCAAGGTCAATGGACTACAAAGAGGGTCCAAGGCAGCCATCTCAGCTGCAGATTTTGATTCTGTCTCAAGTGAGCTGAATTCCTCTCTGTTTCTGCTATTCTCCCTGTGTGGAGTAGGCTGTCTGGCATGTCTCCCACATGCTTTTCTGTCCAACAGAGTTATTCTGTGGAAAAATACATTATGGCTTAAGAACTGTTCATATTCTGTGATACTGAAGAGTTTGTATAATTACTGTACTCCTTGGGTCGTAAACATAAATCAAACCAAGGTCTAACATCTAAAATTCCTGAAATAATTGTCTCTTTTTCTTTGCATGGACTCTCACACAAGCTGGCGCTGTCTCAGCTGAGGCCTCCGGGCATAATAAACCCCCCTTATATACTCCTGTGTTCTTCCCCTGCAGGGAAATCACCACAGGGAGAAGCTATTCACAGGCAACCCACATGTGCTCTGCGTGGACTCACCTCCATTGACGGAAATCAGTGCACTGGCAAGGGCTTGACTTGTGTCATCACCCAAGGTGATGTTTATACAGTATGTCCCAGGTTCCTCAAAAGCTCTCCTGATGGTGAGTAAGCATTCGTCAGTGACGACGATGGGGTCGCATACCATGCTCTTGGACACCTGGCATGTGGGGTCAGAAACTACTGTGCAGACATCTGTGGGGAGACTGGGATGGGAAGAGAAAACATATTCCATCTGTGGAGTCCTGTTAGCCCAGTTCATAGGCACAGGGCACTGGTGCCACAGTTTTATGCTGGTGCCTGTTTGCTGAAATCAATGGCACTATAGTGTTTTATTAATACTATAGATATCTCTTTTTACATACCTATACATTGTATACACACATACATGTGAATTTCATATAGACTGCATATATGCCATCTATATAATCATCTGCTTGTTTTGCATGTCATTTAACCTTTCATGTGATCACAGAATTGCCTGCATCAGATCAACTTGTAAAGTCCATTACCTTTAATACACATCATTAAGGAAGGAATGCAGATTCTTACATGTAGTATCCTGTGCCGAAAAAGAAACACTAACTTAAGAGAGGTTAATTGTTTTCCAGTTGCATTGCCAAAGCAATTTTTGTAGTTCTTAGTCCTCTCAACTCTAATCTTCTAGGAGCTAGGAATATTAGTACATGTTTTCCTGTCCAAGAAATTGTTTCGGCACACACATTAAGTGTCAAAAAATCATGGCCAAAAAGAACTTCCTTTTAATTTCAGTAAACTGCTTCCCATTTCACAGCAAGTGCTGAAATCCTGTCTTGGCCAGGAAGATATGGGATTGTTTCTTCCCACAATCTAATTCTCTTATTTTTACTGAGACATGACATTTGTTCCAAATCCTAAGCAACTGGCAGTAACCTCTGCTGCCATAGTTTACAAATGAGACTTGCTTTATCTTTAGTTCCAGTCAAGAAATAGAAACAACTGCCGTTTCCAAATTTTGTTCATGCAGCTGCATCTCAGTGCAGACAGCATTCCAGCACCTAATTAGTTTTAAAGAGGGAAGACTGACAGCTTCATTTACACACTTACCTCCCTTGGCAGGTAACAACAAAGTCAACCAGTGAGTTTTCAGCTTGACTTTCTGTCGTCTGGATGCTTGTCATCTGAATAATATTTACCTCAAGGATTCCCTCTGGGAGAGGAAACACATGTCAACGGTAGGACACATGACAAGCTCTGAAGTCTGTGCATACTGAACCTCAAGTGTCTGGCTGATGCTCAGTTCAGGTCTTGTTTTCCATAACCTGTTCCCTCCCTTAGCACTCCTCTTGAGGGGTTTGAAAGCTGAGAAATTTTCCAGTACTTTCCCTGTGAGGTTGCTGCTTTCTGATCTGCTTTATTTTTCCATCCTTATTATTTATTTACTTATTTTACTAAATCACTTCCCCATCCCACTCCATGAGACTTCTCTGCATTCAGAGGTCAATTCAACCTTACATAACCAGACCATATGCTCCTGCTGCAGCAGGTTCAGAAGCTGATGATATAGCAAGGAGTGATATGGTGCACATCCCAGCCAGCCTTTTCCAGCCCAAGTGCCTGGAATCATCACGTGTATCACGGGGCAGCCATCAGCAGCCATCCTGACCAAGGTCCAGCCACACGTGTCTGAAACCAAGGGGCCATAACCTCTGCCACAAGGTCCTGGCAGGGTGTGTGAAGAAACCAAAGCCAGCCAGTTAGCTGTCTGTTCATTAATCTTTAAAACTCTCAGCTATTTCCATGAGAAGGACCTAATTTGGGTCTCACATATTTGGTAAAAGGATCCTGAATAAACTTTATCTCTACCATACATTGTTGTAGGTTGCTAACACCATTCCTCTGTGCAGGTGTTGACCCACATCCTTACCTACGATGGAGATACCACTTCTATAGTATCCATTCCTGTAAATATGGCAACCTCCATCAGGATTATCCTCCATTGACTCGACAGTGACAGAAGAGTCAGAATTAGAAGATGCTTCCGTTGTTACTGTCTCAGGGAGAAGGAATAGATACACAACTTTAGAATAAGTTCTACTTAGAGGTATTCTCATCATGGCCATATGTTCCAACTGCCTTCATTCCATAGGTCAGCAGGGACTTTGGTTTGCAGCTGTGCAGTCATGTATGTATCTGTATGGGATCATGGCAATAATCCTTAAAGAAAACACACATGCCTAGCTGTAGAACCCTGGAGTGGCCTGGGTAGCCTCACTGTAAAAGCCACCTGGCTAGTCACCCTTCTCTGAGAAATAAAAGGGAGACTTCAAGCTTTAAGGTAATTAAACACTTCTTTAAAATTCCCAAATCAATTATGTAAGAAATCCAAAGGCCAATAAAAGGTTTAAAATGCTTTCTTTAAAAACTGGTATTTTCCCATTGCTCTCCATTACAGCTAGTGGGAAAATGAAGAGGGGAAGTGGTAAAAATTATATCTTTCCTTTCATTTTTCATTCTCACTCAACATTTTGGTAAAAACACATATTAAAAATATGAAATTTAAAAAATATAGCCACATTTACAATTCCATAGTAGTAGAATTATACCTGACACTGTAGGCCTTCTGCAAACCTTAAAATCCTCTGAGATGATAAACCAGTGCTGAACATGGTGAAAATTATTCTGAAATATGATAGTCAATAAATTTAAAGTGGAAAAGCTGCTCTGAGTTAATGTCATGTGGAAATCCCACGTTTTTGAATATGACTAAATTTTTCAAGTTCAATCCAATCTCATTTAATTTTGAGTGTAATTTAATGCAATCCAGAAAGGAACTTGCTCTAAGAATGTTCTGAAATACCTCTTTCTCACTTTAAATTTACATCTTACCTCAGAAGATGACCTTGAGCAGGCACAGCTAAAATCTCCTGGCCTGGTGTGGTAGAGGTTATAAAAACAAACTTATGTATACTGTATGTCCACCTGAAGACCTCTGTGTGCTGCCGCTGTGGTGGTAAAACTGGGTGTGTAACATGTTAAGTGTGTGATTCCTACCACAGAATCATAGAATGGTTTATGCTTATTGATTCTGTCTCTAAACCAATTTATAGAGGGCTTGCAGAGCCTTACAGCTCTTTCATTGATAACAGTAAAAGTTCTCAAGGTGTGAACCTAAAATATTAGAAATTAGAGTTTTAGCCATAGCTCCTAATGCCACTGCTGTTTGATAAATTCTTACCTGCTGAGGTGGGCAGCGCTGCAGTGGGTGGTACTGGCCTGCAAGGTACAGGTATAATGGCTTGGACAGTTAAATTCAGAGTGAAGTTTCCTTGCAGAGTGTAGGTGTGAGATGTAGTAGAACCGCTGGCTACAAATAAACCACTTCCATCCCCGAAGTTCCACTTGTAGGAGATGGCAGAATTGTTAAGATAGTAGCTGGGATCATGGATCTTCACATCAAATGTAATTGGTGAGTCTTTGATAAAAATAGAGTCTGAGATGTTGCGGTCGTGTTTTTGGAATAGAATCACAGATATTGGAATTTTGT